GACTCTTTTACTCTGCAGTCTGCACACAACCATATAAGTTATTTATTTTTGTGACCGAACCATAAATTTTACGTTTTTTCATTAGGAATTTAAAGTTAACAATTATAGAGGATATATAACCAAACCTAGAAAACTTATCGAAATATTCAATTACATTAAAAAAATTATGTTTATTTATGAAACTATGTGTTCAATAATATTATATACCTAATATATAGATGACTGCAATAGTTTTATATCACATAAACACACAATTTGGACACAAAACGTTTAGATAGATATTACAAAAATTACAATTACTGGTAATAATATGCTTAGTGCATTTTTGTATAATTACATACATTTGTGTATCATTTATGTCAGGTATTTGTAACTGTTCTTATTATAAATAGCTCGTATATCCAATTCTTGCTGCCACGTTGAAGTTATCGTCTGGCATGTTCGAAAATCGCTATTCGAAAGTAAGTTTATCTGTAAATGTGTTATTCAAGTATAGTATTTAGCTATTTTTTGAGAGCATTAAATGATAAATTATAATTAAAACGCGCGTTAAACGTAATGATATACTTTTGATATAGTGACCAAAACAGTCTACTGCAGCAGTTTGCTACTGGTTAGTCTGGCTCAAACTGCACATATATAATATATAATTATAAACCTAGCCGAACTTTATTAAAAATGTGTACGAATGCCTATCAGAAAAAAAAACATACTATATAACTACACACATGAATAGAATATAAAGGCGTCACAAACAATGTTCTCTGTATAATATAACTGGTGGAATCCCGCACAAATGACATTCGCATTTCGTTTAGAAAGCATACATAACTATTATGCGCGTACACCGGACAAAATCAAATATAATGTCAACTATACGTGATTTTCAACGCTATCAGCACATAATAGTTAATACTTGTCACAATATTCATAGTCAATGCAATTTATAATATAGGTATAGGTATAATCTTAATGTAAAATACTATTGTTAAATTTATAAATTATATATGAAACAATCTGTTGTTTATTATTTTACGTATATTGATATACACGCAACGACTCATATGCAGTATTTTATTGTTTATAGTTAGTAGTTACGAACTGTTGTGTTATTTCTGACGACTCTTGCAATGATATGTTGTTTACCAATGTAAAAATATTTATACAAAATATAGGTTAGGTACCTCTACTTGTACCGCATTTATATACAATAAATTATAAATGCCGCGCCACGCGTTCGGATTCACTGAAAACAATTCTCTCGTAGTTTTTACGGTATATTATATATTTATGTTGTATGTAAAATAAGTGTAGTATTCTGAAATTGTTCACCAATATTGATATCACTGATTTTTCTAGCCTCCTATCCTTCAAAACATATACATATATATTTCAAAAGATGACGCTCCAGATAGTCATAATTCTACATTTGCCTCCTATCAATATGACTTGTGTATTATAACAATCATTTGTGCTATTGAATTAAAATAATATCAATAAACCATATACAACAATTTAACAGGAATTTGGAACCTATAACTTAGTGTACCTGGTAGGACCGCCCAGACTTGACGATATAACTAATTTTAAAAAATTAGATAGGGTACGAAAAATTATGTCAAAAAAAATATTTATTACAACCATTTTCCTTACTCCTTCTGTAAAGACCCTAATTCAAGCACTAACTGTTGGTGTATCAAAATATCGGATGGATTTAAAAATACAATACGTTGTGGTTAAACGAAAAATTGAATATCTATTCAAGTTCATATAGTATATAATAGATTTTAAATTAAATAAATATACTATTTTTCTTGAAAACATCAATATCACATTCTACTGTTGGCAATCACTTATTTTTTTTGTTTTTTGAAATATTTCGTAATAAAGGAATTTTAAGGATCTCAAGGTCAAGGACTCTAAATTATCAAAATTGTATACATCGACTTCACAATCTTCAGTTGTGTTTAGTACGCAAAATATATCGTGTTATATACTTCACATATCGATTAGGTATTTAGATATCAGTTGTAACAAACCGCTCATACTTTTAACCTAGACCTATTAAATTATCATATTACAGAAGTAGACATATTAAAATAGAATACATGTATATGCGTACGAAATGCTTAAATTATACCATTTCCCTTAGGTTCTACCGGGAAATAGTATAATTTATATTCATAATTTATTCTGGACGATAAACATATATTTTTTGTCTCTTATTTTTTATAGGTCATTCACTCGTTTCTTATTCAACGTGTTTCATTTCCTAATGTCATAATTAACCATTAGAGCGAACTAGATTAGGTTAAGGGAGGAGAAAAAAGTATAATTTAGGACAAATCTATGAAATAATAAATATATATCTTTAATAGATTTCATAAAGAAAAAAAAATATAAATCAAATGATGTAATAATAATTATTAATTATAGCACGTGTAGTTTAAAGACAATTATTATTTTTACATTTGTGTACCTGTTATATACAAACAGGTAAATTAAAAATATATATCACATGTGTACAAATTTATACTTAGTAAGTATATAATTATCGTGGCACGTCAATATAATCCTACTGGATTCGTATGAATATAATATAAACGACGTTTGTTAAATCGGTTTCGATTATTTTTAACATTAGTACGTATAATATGTGACGAAAAATAATATAAATCTTAATGTTAATAATAATATAACAATATGTAGGTATACTTTAGTATACTATATAAATATCTTATATTAAGTAAATGCTATTTATGTACGAGCACGCAAAAACTGCAGGATTACGTTATTTGCATTAGTTTTATTTCATAATCATAAACGCTTCGTTAAATGCACTTTACACAATTATTATAGTTTATATATTATATAGGTATGTCAAAACAATAAAGTTTAAAAATAAATAGGCTTATACTATGCACTACTGTTCACAGAACATACTTGACGTATGGTTGTGAGAGGGGTCTTGAATTCAAGACCATAGAAAATTAGTTACATTTATTCATGCTGAAATATTGAGCTACCGATTTTTTTTTTATTTAACCTTTCCTCTTAAATTCTGAATCTAATATAATAATTTACCTAATTGCGCCAATAATTAGAACGAAATCGGCCTTCGCACAGAACATATTATATTAATTCGTATGATATAAATTATGTCATTATTTATCTATTCCAATGCCCCACTACAATCGATCATACTATAATTTGTATTATATATAAGAAGTCAAATTTATATTATAATAATAATGCATGTTGTAGGTATGCTTGTCGTCGTCTGATAAATATAGTATAATATTTGAGAGCATTACAAATCACGAGGACGCACATGCCATGTCCAATCAGTATTATATAGATGTATATATATATATATATATATATATATATATATGTGTGTGTGTGTGTGTGTGTGTGTGTTTATATATATATATATATGTGTGTTCGACCTCGCAGATGAATATTGAACCTGCGGGGATTTACGTTTTGTGCATACGATATACTGAATAAACGCGTAAAATGCATCTATGATAAAAGTCAACGTTTTAAACCAAAAAATGTACATATTTATAGTCTCTTTGTAGATTAAATTATGTTAAATTAAGCTTCACCAGCATTCATCAAAATAGTAAAGTTACATTAAACGGATTTATAAACTGTTTTACAGCACAACTTCATTAGACTTTCACGGCATATTATATTATGATACCTATTTTGAATCATTGTAAAAAATTTTGTTAAAATAATGGATTGATGCTTTGAAGTTAAAAATTACAAAAAACAATGTATTTTATATACTTACTACTTACCAGTGGCTATTGCTATTTGTTTTTAAATTCTTATTTAAAAATAATATTATACGCAATAAAATCCCGATTAAAAAAAACATGATACACTTAATGATTGTTATCTAAAAATATTTTGTAATTTCTATAAGAAATAAATATTTGAGAAACCTATTAAAAGCACTTTTTATGAAATTTTACTATTTATTTTTCAAAAAAAAAAAAAAAATGATATCCTTTTTGGTTTCCTCAAAATAAATTATAATCCCACCATCCTATTTAGTATAATACTTATCGTTTCCAGAAAACAAGTAGCGGTGTAGTCTAAAAAATAATAAATAGTTAACAAATTGTTAGTGTATACATGTATATTGTATATATATATTATAAATATATACGCTATACTTATACGAGCGCCTGCATTCTTATACCTAGCGTTTAAGTTACCTGTAGCTCAATACTTAAAACGGAATCACTCACACATTTTAATACTTTTTTTATATAACCATAATTAGGTATATGATTATATAACCATTAATGTTTCCTTAAGGTTAGGTTAGTAGGTTTTAAACTTTTAAGTTTTAACCAAAATTTAATTTAAATTTTAAATTTATGTTCGCTTTACCTATACTTTGCATATCTACATAATATGCCGGACTAGTGTCATGCTATTTAATGACGGTGCTAATTCTAATTAGTTTTAATTCCAATAATTTAAATTTTATCTTTGATGGTGCTTTATCCGAAGTTTTATAAAAGAAAAAAAAATATAAGTTAAAAAAATTGCATCCATCCAGGTGCTCCAAATTTGATAAATTAAATTGCAAATTAATTTACAATTTTAAAAAAATTCATAATTAATTCTTCCCGCGCGTTTACTTTTTAATATTTAATTTGTAATTTAATCGACTTGTATTAAGATGGATGAAAATTGTTTTTATTTTTAGTTTTCGCTTGTAAGATTGGGCATACTAAAAATTATTGATTTATTATTAATTAATAAAATTTTAAATTTTTTAATTTGTTTAAAAATACAAACATTTAAAATAGCTTTATTTAAAGGCCCTATTGTATTCATCGAAAACAACACAATCAAACTCACCTAATCCGATAGAAACTGTTAGATTCGAAAAAAAATACGAGTACAGATTAGGTAAGTATACGAAATAGTGTGTTATAAAAAGCTTAATAGGTACTGCAACAGTCGATACTGACCTTTAAGTGGCTATTGGTCCTCTGGTGCACTGCTGACGGAGACACCATGTACCCGTCCACGGCCAGAGACTCTTTGGCGAAAACGCAACAGTCTGCCGAAGCGGATTCGATCATGTTTTGGTATGCAGGCGACTTCAAAAAATACCTGTTATCGTATATGAGGGGGTGGTATGGCGTATAGAGGCACACGGCACGATCTCGCTCGGGGGCTGCGCGGTCGGCGTACTCACGACTTGGGAAATCGCCCGTGTATTCGCGGTAATCCAACAAAAATAATAATAACCAAACGCACTCGCTCAACAATTTTCCAGTCACTATGCAACGGTGTTCAACGTACACGACCGACGATCTTACCTGCGATATTACGCACTGCGCAAACAATATCGATACTAATATTATAAAACTGTTATTATTTTATCGAACGCCGTCTGCTGCGGTAGGACCACAGCAATACGATATCGTACGATTTAATATTAATGCGTGCGTACTATCGTCGTCGTCGTCGCCGTCTTGCGCGAATCCGACAAAGCAAGTAATGCTGCGACTGCTCTGCGGCGGACACCTGTTAAGACTGTTGCGGCTATGATATTATCATCGCGCTGAATGTTGCGGTAGTGGCGTACACCGTATTATTATTATTATTATTATTATTATTATTGTTGTTATTAATGCAGAGACCGAGAAAACCGGTACCGGCGGTACCGATAAATAGTATAAAAAATCACGCCACCGTCGTCGACACCACTACCACCACCATCAACCTCCACCACTACCACCGCCACAACCGCCACCTCCACTGTTCCGCCGCGGCATAACTCGCGAGCCGACTTGGAACAATAATTTATTATTATGTACATGTATATATTATACGCACGTATATAGCTATACATTGTATACGTATAAAACATGTACTTACTGCAATAATAACGCGTATAATAATAATTGTAAATACGTCGTCGTCGTCTTGCCCCTCAAAGTAGTGGAACGTTCGTTCACCTTGACGTCTCTGACGTTCGTATTATTTCGTAACTAGCGCGTGTACGCTCGACGGCGGCATGCGTGCCGACGACGACGACGTTTGTACAACGGACGCTTTTGTGTTTAGCATTTGTTACTCGTAAGTCGTGAGTAGTATACTATTATGGTTGTAGGTTGCACGTGCATAAGCGCTACTGAGTTGTTGGCGCACTGGATTTGGCTGGATGGAGACTGCTTAGCCGCGCGTAATAAATGAATCGATAGTTGTGAGCATTTTAAAATCGTGATATTTTACACGTCTACAATAATTGACTTCGAAATTAAAATACCGGACACAACAAACCGTAGACAATTATTTTTACATTAACGTTTTACTAACAGGTAAATTCACTTAGTTAAAACTAACGAGACTAAACAAAAAAATACTGGATGTAAATTTGCTTCACGTTACGGCACTTATAAGACGGAGTCAACGTACACGGATAAAACGTCTTTTAAAGAAAAATTTAAAACATTATGTACTAGCCTATATTTACAAATTTGAAGAAAAATTGTTTGATCGGTCTTCCGCGCCTAAACTATTGCATCTAATATGCATATACATAAATATTTTTAACTGTGAAAATCAAAACATATTTATAATAATGCATTGTGTATCAGTAAGTATATAGATTTATCGTTTCAGCGTGTTGAAAATTATATTAACCCAAAAAAGTCTTGAACACTTTCGTCGTAATAACATATAAAAGAAAAATTAAACTTGTACAGTAAAAATTATTTGTTTTATTGATTATTGTTTTTATAATAAAAACTAAGTATAGGTATACTAGATATAACACGACTTCACCTCGAAAAAAATTGTCTAACGTAAAATATGGCATTGCGACGTACGTGCAAATCAACGTCGGTGTTTGGTGTAATTCGCTTTATGAGCTAATTCGACGATCGAAATGGACGATCCGCCTGTGGCGAATTGAATATAGCACTTGACACATATTTTCTAGTATATTTAAGAACAATTTCTTAAACTTTCATCAAAATAGGTCGAATTATTTATGAGTTTATTAAATTACAAACACCCCAAATTAAAATATCAAAATTTTCCAAGAATATATTTTTTTGCCAAACAATTTAAATTTAAAGTATAACAACTGTAATATGAATATACTACACGCTAACAAGTGTCTTAAACACATCATGTCTTTACAATGGTAAACGTAATACCTATATATCATCGGCAATCGCATATTTCATTAGTAATATACTAAAATACAATCATAATTTCTAATATAAATAATGTAATATTCAATACATTAAATTTTTATATAAATATTTATTGTAGCGTGAAAGAATAGGAAAATACCAGTTAGTTATAAATACATTAATACCGTTCGCCGATGTTCCTAAAAAACTAATGTATAGTTAACTATCATAAGTATTTTAAAATAAATATACTAAGTAATACTAAAAATAACCTACACTTAAGTAATTAATGAAATAGAATTTTATCATAGTATAAAAAATGGCGCTAAGTGATCATCAAATAATTTTTTTTCCCAATAAAAATGCGTACCTAACGTTAATAATTATCATATTTCAGTATTTCACAATTAATGAAAAATACAATTTCAACTTAATTTATGCTTGGTTTAAATAAAAAATATTCAAAATATATCCCAATAATTTTTTTGTACACAAACTATAATTATACTTATACACATACAATAATAAATTTTATTATTAAAATTGTGTACTTATTTTATGTAAAAAATAAACTAGGGGAATATTTTTAGTCCTTTAAATTTAATCTATTCTGCGATAATACCAAACAAAGGCCATCGTTAAATTTTTATAAATAAAACATACATTTCTAGTGTTGAAAGAAGTCACTTAGATTCTTTAAAGCAAATTTTTCAGAAACTAAATAGTAGATTTTTTTAGAGAAATATTAACTTCGCATCTCATCAGTTAGGTTTGTACTCTTTGCATTTTAAAACAGCAGAATTTTATTTATAGTTTATACATAACTATTTTATTAGATGTGTTATTACTTATTATACTCAAGTTTATCCATGTAAAAAATATAAGACCAAATTAAATAAAAACTTAAATTTTTTAAATAAAATAATTATTTCCCATTTAAAATCACTTAAATCATTTTAATCATATAACATCATGATAATATTTATTTTTTAGATTCGAGGTCAACCCGTATACAATATAAGCATGATAAACCAATTTTTCAATAAAAAAAACTCAAGTTCCTGAGTATAAAATTATACTAATTCAATTTTTTACATCTTAAGGTAATCCACTTTAGTTTTAAAGACAACAAATTTTATTCAAATAATTTAAAATATATAGATGAATCAATACACAATTTAAAACAAAATATTAATTTTACATGCTAAGTAAATCCTTTAAATTTTGAAAATAACTAAATTGTATTGAACAAATAAATTAGGTTCTCTAAATAAGCCCGTATAAAAAATAAATATAAAAATCTGTTTTTTTTCTCTAAAGAAATCAAATTTTTGGACAAAATAAAAAATTCTGGTTGATCCTGTATTGTCGTGTTGATAAAATGATAAATATTTATTGATTTTCAACAGGGCGTACAATTTATAGTTTGTAGACATCCTATCAACATTCGTCGAGATATCAACTTCAAGATAGGACAATAAGAACTTACAACAGTAATATTACCTACATATTATTATAACTAGCAATTCAGAAATTGTCGATTAACAAGTACACCATATATAAATTACTTACAAAACAACAAATGAGTTATAATATTATAATAATATAAGTTATATTATCTACAAATTATAATTTATTATATGTTTGTGATAAATATATACCTACTTTTTTAGCGGCTATGGGCACTTTCGTTACTTTTATAAAGCGATATTACAATACTTACCTGTATTTAATACAAATATAAAAATGAAATAATTTTTTTTAATTTTTTTATTTTTTCGTATGCAAATTGCGAAGGCCAAATGACAAAAAAAACTTGTCAAGTAATAATTGTACTATGTATTCTTATATTGAATATAAAGACAAAAAACCTATCATTTTCAAAACCGGATTATAATCAGGATATTATTATGGTTACGGTAGGTATGCCAATTGTGAATTTAAATTTAATTAAACTGCAGACTAAGAAAACGTCATATTATCTTATAATTATTTTAATATTTTCAACTATAATATGTAACGACATGAAATATATTGCAATATTATAGTCGGAAATTGTAAGCAGGTTTACCACATCAAATATTGAGACTTCACTAGGCACCAGTAATCCACGACTTTTTTCTATGGCCCTCCAAATATATTATATCATTATAATTTTAATTTAATTTATTTATTTTCAGATATGTATTCAGATTTAAAATTATTTCAAGTGATATTAAAATTATTACACAAACATATTAACAGCGTTTGGATCATTATGTATGTAGTATGTTGTAAAATTATAATAGAATCATCCAAATCAACTCCATATATTGGGGAAATTAAAACTTCTTTTAAAGAAAGTAATGAACTAAAAATATTTTATTCAAAACTTTTTAAAGTATATTTTAAAAGTATTAAAATTCTTACTAGACAAATTATTACTGCTCTCGTTAGCACTTATTTTCGTGAGCAAACATTTTAAATAGTTAAGTAATCGAAAAAATAAATATTGATCACATTTAAGAGACGAAAACTTAAATATATTTTTAAAAATGTCAACATCCAGTATGAAAGTGAATATAAACAAATTAGCAGGAAAAGTTCAACCTGAAAAATCACACTAAAAACTAAATATTTATCCATTTGTTCTCAAAAATTAATTAATAATTTTTCTTTTAATTTTTAAATTTTTTCTATACTAATTTATTTTATTCAAAATTAATTAATATGGAAAACGTTGCAATTTGAAACTCATAATACGAGTATAATTCTATCCATAAAAATATTAGTATTAAATGTTAAAATTGTATTTTTAATAAAGTTTATTTTAATTTTTTAAGCAGCTCTCAAAAAAATCTGATACAAAATATGAGCTGCGACGTAAGTAAAAAGATTTCCTAACCTCGTTCTATACTATACTTTTTACTTGGGCCCTAAATATAAAATTTCCAAGTATTATACTTTATATGACATTGAATAAAACTAAACTATTCTACAGAATATATACATTTAAAATTGGATAATATAATATATAATATATATATTTATTAATAGTAGATAAAATCCAATAATATAACTAAATACGATTTTTTTAATTTTAAATTGTTTGAATTTTCACGTAATTTCAATAGTTATATAACAATCTTGCATGGATAGATAAAATAAAAAAAGTAAGGTTAATATTGTAATATTGTCCCGTGCTATTAAAAAAAGTCAATTTATTAGGAGGGGTAGTTGTTTGGGTGAATGAATAATTTTGGCTACTATATGTTACTGGAAAAGATGACATTTAAACACTGTTGACAATGTCCAGTCAATAACGATAATGCCTGATTTAGTAAGGAATTAACGTCAATTATTAGTTATTGATGACAATTCCTAATAAAAGAAGGCATTGATGATACAATTTAAAATCAAATAATATATAATACTTATTATTTAGGATAAATCATAATCTTATATAATCTTTATTACATTAATTTTTTTTTAGTTTCATAACATCAATAGTTTATATCTTATCATCCTTATTGTTACATGGTAAACTACTGTGAAATTTAAAATTACATAATCTAGTGTATTATGCACCATGCGCGGCTAGCAAATTTATTGACTTTACATTGTGTTTTACAGTGGCATCTTGTAAAACCTTGTGATTCAGAAATACTGTTAAAGGCAGCTGCTTCCCGGAAAGTTATTTACAACCGTTTCAAGATCAAGAAGTTTCTCCTTGCATAGATTCATTTTTGTCTGGGTATACTTATATTCCATAAATCTATTTTCTGTACCTATACAAATAACTATATAAAAATAATAAATAGTAAAAAAATAATTTAATATTAAGTTGTTTAAAATAATTAAACAGTTTATATTTATACATATAATTTATGTAAATTATCTTACACTTCAGTTACAACTGCTAATACATGATGTGGAGAAATACGAGCTTGGTTTTCATCAGAAATAGAGATACGCACCAAAGTTCCTACTTCAAGTTTCAGGTATTTTGAATTTGATGTTTTAACTGTTTGTTTGGCTTATTTCTCTAAACATTTTACAGATAATGACGTTTGTAGTGAATTGTCTACAGTCGTTGATTAACTATCAAATAATTAATATAAAATATTTAAATCAAAATATAAATTAATTTTATTGTTTCATGCTAAATATTGATAGTGCCCGGTCCTTTTTTTAACTTGTAAAATAATCTTGATATCTTCAGATTATAAGCAAATCTATTTCATCCATATAGATAAACCTGTTGACGCTACAACTAATTGAGTTGAACCTCCAAACATTGCCATACGGAAATCTTCCAATACCTAAAAATGTAATCTTATTAATGTATAAAAATAATTATGTTTTTCCAGTTAATTAAGTGAAACAATATTTTAAAAATATAATTATTTAAATAATTCTTACCTAAATGAAAAGCACAACATTTTCGGAATTGTATAAATTTTAATCCGGACGGCCAATCACTACACTTATGTTCTCAGCCATTCATGAAGGCAGCATTATCCTCTACATCTCGGATGGTATGTTCAACAGAGCCCTATCTCTATGTCGAGATTTCCCATGAACAATTTTTATATCACCCCACATGACATAAAATTTGTTTATAGATATACTAAAATACTCTCTTCCGTTGTACCAGTGCAGTATGACTAATACTATAAATATTGTATAGATATTATTAAATTATGTAAAACTTCTTCAGCACATTTTGTATTCAATTGATTAAGTACAATGAACTTGGTGAAGTGGTCATGGTAATTCATTTTAAATCGGAAATCATTTACACTCTTTAATTGCATATCTATTAAATCCAATTGAACACATTATACGCTGAATGTAAAATAGGTTTTGGTACAAGCTCCTTTTTTGGGTTTGAAGATTTTTAATAACATTTAGAACATAAACTTAAATAAACCATTATTGTTTCTTCTGTCACATTCACTTATTTTAATTTAAGTTCAGCCATCATACGTTCTCGGCCTCAGTGTCGATTGCTGTATGTGCAATATGAATAATATTAAACGACTCTTCATTTATTACAAAACAATAACGCACACCCTTTGTTACTTTAATTATAGTTTTAATAAGATGGTCTTTACCATTAATAACAAGAATAACGTAATTTTAAATTTTTTTATTTCTCCAATTCGTTCACAATATTCATCATTATTGAAAAAAAGTTATTGTCATTACGTTTATTTTTAATTAGTAATAAAATTGCGTTGTCAAATTTATAGCGTATTTCATGTAAATCGATTTTTAAATAGATTAGTTTGCAATTTACTATTTCAGTGCATAAACAATACTGTGCAGTCACTTACAGGATGTGTCTATAACGATACCTATAAGTACGATAATATTACATTTGTCAATTTTATTATAAGTTATAACTTATAAGCAATAAAAAAGATAATATAAAACCGGGTTGACCATATACCTATATTCCATAATAATATAACCGATCACCCATAAAGGTATTTATATTTGTTTTGATACGGATTTATAATATTTTCTAATACACTACAAGCAGACATTTTGATAAAAATACAAAATATCCAAAATAAGTAATAACCTATCCCTTTCTAGTATTATTATTTGCACATGACATATTCAACACATTCGACTTATTATGAGATAACTTGAGAATAGTGTAAATGAAACTAATAAAATCAAGCAAATAAATAAAATAAATAAATAAATAATTAAACAAATAATACAATTTAGGTAAATGGATAATAATAGTTTATAGTTGTAATACCTAATCATCACATTATCCTAGTCAACTGCAATGACTAGGAAATCACGATAATTCCTACAAATTATCATCTTTCTTTAGTAACATACACATGATATAATTGATATAAATATTACTTATACTGCCTACCAAAACTTCTTCAGTAAAAATTTCTTTCATATTGCAACCCAAAATTTTAAACACATGTTATACGAATTACAGCCTATATTTTTATTTAAGGATTCACTCTAACTAAAAAAAAAAATGTTTATTATTATCTAATAATAAAATAAGACATTACATTCCTAGCCAATAGATTATCTACATCTACGAATACTTTAGAGGTAAATACATTTTTTTTTTTTACTTTATTTTTAAATAGTCTGTTATTTAATTATTATAGATTTGAATTCAATCATTAAATATTATCAGAGATAATTAATAATAATTAATATATCGATATCTAACAATAATACACATGAAGGTTGGTTTAACTATTAATAATACAACGATGTTGTGATAATATTAGGTAATGCGCGTTTTATAATCTATAATAATATGTGTACAGTTATTGAAGAAGGTCGGGAGGACGGCCCCGTTTTAGTTTACGTTGAGAATGAGCATGAAGATAAAAATATAGTTTTTAACAGGTTGAGTTGAGCTTCAGTGGTCCATGAAAATATTTAAATAGAGTTTTTATGCGGTATTGATTTTCTTAAATTTAAATTTATTTTTTAGCCTTTATCAAATATGCTTATTGTGCATCAATTGTACAGATTGTATATATTTTGTGTAAAATAAAAAAAAAGATATATTTTTTAATTACGTGAATGTACTGTAGTAATGAAGGTTAACTATAACTACTATATGATTTTAAAAACATTAATTTGGATGCTAAATTTTTTATATCAGTACAATAAAATTAGTATACCTACATATTATAATAATAACTAGTACCTATCTAAAATACGAGTATATACAATTATTAAACATACTTATAAAAACTTTTAGCTCGTTAATTAAGTCCACAGAATATATAAATAAAGAATTACAATAAGATATCGATAAGCCTGATAAAGTGTTTAAAATTTAAATGATCTTGCGGGTTTGTATAGTTATTGCTTCAATGTATTATAAGCTATAAAAGTAATTCACTGTAATTTGTTGTAACTTGTAGTAACACTTGGATAAGAACGGTATACGTTCGAGGTAACTGAGGAATGCCGAAGATACGTAGATATTTTAATAATACAAGACCAAGTTTAGAATTGTTAGGTACATCAGTAAAATTGTAAGTTTTAAAATTAAATTTTCTTTCCCATTTTTACACTAATTATCTGTCTTTTTCTATAGGTCAGTTAAAAATATTATTATCTGCATTTTTATTTAAATATTTGTCATATTTTTTTTAAATTAACATTAATATTAATAAGTACCGGTAAAAATTTAATAGGTATGTATATATATTTAAATCTGTTAATTTGTAATATATTTATAATAAATTATTTGCTAACATAAGACCCTATATCTGCCCGTGTGTTAGATTTCTTCTCACACACAGGCTAATAATTTTAGACATCAAAAAGTTTTCCCTCAAATTCAAGCTTATCTGAAAATTCAACAGTACCTATACATTTTATCTGGATATGTCAGTTACCTGTTCGATCACTAATAAAATATATTGCTATTGCATTTTTATGTATAAGGGTAACTTATAAGTAAATACATTTAAATTTTATTCCATGTAAGTTTATAAATAAATGTATTAAATATAAATTAATAAAAAATAATAATAAAAGTGAATTTTAATATTAATATTTTAAAATATTAAAAATAATATAAATATAATATTTTTTTAAATTATTTATTTATTAAATACCTTAGAAATTCGTATCATTGTCTGAGAGAGATGAAAAATTAGCTGTTGTTAATATCTATAAACATAGATTTATAATATGTGTTCACAAATGCAATCAACTTCTCTTCTGACAAAAATAAAATTGCACTGCGTTTATTTTTTCAAATCGATAAAAAAATAAATAATGTTTATGACTCAAAAGATGTAGGTACATAAGCGGCATAATCGTCCGGCTGACAGTCCTAATAAAATAATAAAAAAAATTACTTACTCAAGAAAAAAGTTAAATTGTGCGGAATCGTGCGTTATACCCTTCCCCGTGCACATGGGCACGCATCATATGTTATTAAGATTTGAAAGGACTGTGACTATAGTGAACCTACAATTTTTCAAAGATCATTATTGTTTAATTTACATATTTGTTTAGATAAAAAATTGTTTTTTTACAGTTATACAATACCGGAATAATTTTAGGTTAGATTAAGTCAGAATAAGGACCACAACATATTGAGGAAAAAGCTTAAGTCAGCTGATCCCATACCCCTTGTAAATCTACCCGATTGACTAGTTTTAGCTATAACATAACAAAATAGCAAGTGACCCATCAAATGGTGCACGGAGAAATGTATTCTGAATACTGATAAACACTAGTCACTACCCATTACCGGCGATATTGCCAACGGCAAACAGGACGCATTCAGCTATAACAATACCTAATTTATTATCATTTATCAGTATAATACAAAAACAATATCACTATTTTTTTTCTTTTTTTTTTTTTTTAATGACTAAGTTTTCTCTCCGTCTTTTTGCAATACATCATCGTCTGCCAAACAAGAAAATAATATCATGGGTTTGTTTTGTAGATATCGTTAGGTTATTGTACAGATATAAAGCCGCCAATTCGTCATATTAGAAAAGTATCTAATTTTATTTTACATTGTGCGTAGGTACATTACAATGTAGATATAGGTACACTGATACACATTATTCAAGTAGGTATCAATTTAAAATTGTTATTGTTCGATATTTATTGTAAGCTTCGGGTTGATATTTTTAAAAGAAATTTTAACAATGAGCAGATTGTCATTCTATCTTCTAGTTATATTCATATAAGTATTTAATCAATATCATTATTTAAATAAATACCAATCTACCTATCCAATTGGTATCGCTATGTTGATCATTATATACCTATCGCCTATTATTATTTATTAGGTATAAAAGTATTTATAATTATTTTAAACAGGTGAAAAACCTGTAATTTATGGTACTTACTAAAATTTAGCGTTTATTTTTCGTAAGTCAACTTATTTTAAAAATATATTCTGCAGTACACACGGATTGAAAATTAAATATATCGTATCCTCGTCACAATAACCTCCATTCCGAGAGACTTCAATAACAAAGATCGTGATAAAATACTATTATCATACCCATGATGTCCCATTATACTTTTACCTAAAAACTAAAATCAAAATTTCATTCTAGAACATTTTCAATAGGTATTGGTCCTGGATTTCAATGCAAAATATTGTTTAGGTGCTTTAGAACAATGCGTTCTAAGTACATAGTTTATACTTTCATGCAACAGATACTTCAAAGATGACACTTTAATTTTGCATTTTTGGGTCATTCTTTTAATTTTTAATGCATATGTAAAAAAGTCTATAAACTAGGGAATTCAAAATATTATGTAATATTGTTTATGAACTGTATTAAATATTATTTATTTATATTGAACATCTGCTTTAATAGTTTTCAGGTAACTAGTTTTAGATGACAACATATATACTAAATGTTAATCATTTCCATTTATCGATGTGATAAAGTCTTCACATCTAAAGAGATTGTTGAATGTAATCTTATTTAAATAAATAACAACTAATTGATCAGTACGAATTACATCGTAATCCCGTTTACTTTGAGTAGGTTACTATACTGTTTATTTATATTTGTATGTGCCAAAGTTTAATATTTTGTTTTTTTATTATTGTTAATTTAGATTAAATAAAAGAATATAAAAATTTACAAAAAGTTAACTATCATTTTTCTCTCACTTGTAAATCACTAAAAAAATTGGACGATTTTTTTAAAAGTATTAATACGTTGATGAGACATTTAAGGTTATTTTTTGATAATTTTTAAGACATGTAGTAAATCTACAAGTTAAATAACATGTTTTTTACTTTTTATAGGTAATACTATTATCCCAATTATTATTAATAAAAAAAAAAAATAAATAACTATCTAAGACTTGTAATACTTAATTTAAATATTATGTTTCAGAATAAAGAACACTTTTGAACATTTTAAAGAAAACATAATTTTATAACCTAATTTCAAAAAATTAAGACATAATCATGTCAGAAATTAAATATTAAAAATAATAATACTTTAGTAAATAGGCAATGCAATAGAGAATATTTTCAATGAATTATCTAAATATTTTATTTTTTAACATTTTTAATTCTAGACTATGTAAATAAACTATATTTTTTACAGTTTCGTTCGTTTAAAAAATGTAATATTAATTTTTTCATAACTCAGTAATAGCATAAATTATTTGATTTTAAAACGGAACTAATTAAGATCTGTTTAGTTAGAATAAACAAACTGAAAATTGCAAATATTGGAACCAAATCAAATCAATCAATTGCTTAAAAATTAAATTTATTACATTAAAGAAAAAAGAACATAATTTTGAATTTAATGACATAAAATAAAATTATTTTTTATTTTTTGTCATAATTTTATTGCTTAAATTAATTTTGAAAGTTAGATTCAGGTTCAGTTTGGATTTTGATAAAAATTGTACATTACATATTATTTGAATTATTTCATTTTCAAAAATTAGAGTTTATAACATTATTTTTATCAGTTTATAAAAGGATAGCAGTAGCCTAATATTTAAAGAATGAATTAAGTTTTAAAGATAAATAAACATATGAACTAATAGAGAACTATAAATTTGATACATTTATCAATTTAATGATCATAAAAAATATAAAGTAACAAAATTTGATTTTTTCTTAATAAAAGCTTAAGTTTAATACAGTATAGAACATGATAAATAAAATTGGTTTTAAATTCAAATAGATTTAGTTATCCCGTAGTCAAAAAAATATTATGAGAACATGATATTAACACAAATATTTGTTTATTTTATGATTACAATTTTTTTATTATTATTTTCATCTCTTGAAACCTCGTCCTCCTCCTCCTCTTCCACCGCCACCACCAAATCCTCGTCCTCCGCCAAATCCTCGTCCTCCACCACCTCCGCGGCCACCACCACCACCGCGTCCAAAACCACCACGGCCTCCTCCGCCACCACCGCGTCCAAAACCACCTCCTCCACGACCACCACGACCGCCACCACGTCCTCTTCCACCACCACCTCCTCTGCCTCCTCTTTGGCCACCTGGTTGAGGTAGAAATTTCTTCAATGGTAACAATTTTGCAGGATCAATATATAACTAAAATACAGAAAAATATTAATAATTTAAATATATATAAAGCACTTAAACACTATCCAGTTGACCCACTTTCGCACATGCATACTGAACCGCCTAAATAATTAGACTCCCTGAGTTGGTGAAAGGTGTTCCGTGATTGGTTGATGTCATTGTCGATTGTCAATAACTATTACAGTCTACCACCCCTGCTATTCATACAGTATTCAGAATACACGAACACACGAGGAATAATATAAAAATGTTGTGTTAATACACCACACAATGTATAGTGTCATGATATTCAACAGGTGGTATTGCGACGTCGGACAAGTGGGTCAATTTAAACTGAGTATAGTATAATAACTAGAAAATTATACATACCTTGTCATTTCCTTTGAAAGATTTTGCTTTAACTTCAGAGTTTAACTTAATGGATACAAAATAATCACTGTAAGTGCCAAATATTTCATCTATTTTTCCAATTTGTTGTTTATTAGCAAAATATATAGGTGCGTTAAAGTATGGAACATCTTCCATTTCAGCCTTGCAAATAATGTCATCTTGACAAGCATGAGTAAAATAACCAAGAGGTATTACCTATAAAAACAAATGGAATGATAATCATAATTGTTCATTATAAATAAGTAAATAATTAATAAATATATTATAACTTTATCAGATTATATTTGATTATACAGAATATAAATCATATACTTATATTATCTTAAGTTTAACTAGGTTTATTAAGTAATTTGAATTTGTCTAATAAAGTATGAAGTAATCTCAAAATTCTAAATTTGATTTATATACTTGTTTTTTTTTTACTTTTACTTTTTATAATATAATATGTAAGTTACATAAAAGCACTCATTTGTATGATTACAAATTTTAATTTTTATTATAACCAATCCAATAATTCTGGTTTTAAGCAACCATTAAAATTTTTAAAATAACTGTAACAATTAAATAATCTTACTTCCTATCTTATTCCATCAGATTATAATATTTGCTTCAAGTTTTTGGGGAACTGTTAAGTTTTCTAAAATTTAATATGTTTAAAGTTATCTATGAAGACAAATTAATGTCTATGGTTAATGGTTACCTCAGATATTTAAACAGATATACAACAAATTTTCATAATTATACATTTGTACCCCATTATATTTTTGATTTACTTTAAAAAGTATTGATATATTTAATACATAATTTATAATGAATCTATTACTAGGTTGTTGTAAAATTATTTTCACCAGTATTAATACAGAAAAAGAAGTGTTTGGAAAAAATAAAATTATCTTTCAAATCTATGAAATTGACCGATAAAAATAAATGTAAAAATAATTCATACTTCTTCTGGTGGTCCTTGTTCTGCAAACCTATTGAAACCACCTCTTCCACCACGGCCACCGCCACCACCGCGGAAATTACCACCACCTCCTCGGCCACCTCCATCACCTGAAATTACATATAAATATTTTGTTTTATGGATTTACTAAGTACAATCCACATAAAATGTTGAAGTCAATAATAATAAATAGGTATACTTTAATAAATATTTAGTTCAAAACAAAAATTAAACTGAAAAGAATAATTATATTAAAAATAAAATATATAGACATCAAAATGGTTTTCAAGATAATTTCAAGTTTAAAGCTAATAATTGGGGAATCACTGGAAAAATATTTTATCGGGGTTTAAAACATTATTAAATGATTCACCTCTGCCTCGAAAACCACCGCCTCCTCCGCCACCGCCACCACGGCCAAAGCTGTTTCTATTATTGTTGTAAGACATCGGAATTCAGAATCAGAAAAATAGTATAATGAAAATTGAGTGACTTACTGTAATTTAAAAAAAAATAAAAGTCACGTGTTTATGTTTGCCGCTTGGGCCGGTTAGGTAAACATGTGAAACGACTACATACTACTTATCAACAATCACTACAGCGTTGATGATAACGTTCAATGGTATTCCATGGTAATAACTAAAAACCAAAATTCAGGTTGTAAACATGGAAACATGGGTATAATAATTCGGCAAATTGGGACACAACAACAACACTTACTACTTAATAATTATGTATTTATATTTGTTTAATGATTATGGCCGTCTTAACAAGACTATTTACCACTATCAGATCACATATTCATATCGGTTATCCAAAATCCAAATAAATCAGGTATCAAATATCGGCCATTATGATTATTTCGCGGCGTTCCTGGTGTCTGCTAGTGATTATATGAATGCACGAGTATGTCTTAGGATCGTTTCTCGTTCATTAATTCTACGTTTCGGTCAAAAATTCAGTGAAGTTCGATTTGACATTTTCGCGGCTAACGCAATCCAGTAGTTTATTCGACTGTACACGTCTGGTTCACAGTCAGTCCAGTTTTGTCGTGAATAAAGTAAACTCACGGCCATGAATGACAAGATTGAACTCAAAAATGAACATTCATTGCCAGCCAAAACTGAACCAACAGACGACGATATGGCTTTGTCACTGACCAGCGACGATGCATTATGTCAAACCAATAATGAAATTGTATTAAACTGTGAACAACCATCGATCAGTGAATTCAACAACATCAACCATTCCAATATACAACAGTCCGCCAAAGACAAGATAATTACGAGCTCTCAATATCTCACTTCCCAAACTTCCATTACCGACATCAGTGAAAGTAGTTATTTATTAGAATTATTATAAATTAATAATACTTTTATCCTATTAACAAATTTATACATTTAAATTGTATATAAATTGAATGCATGCAATTAAAATACTTCTTCTAAAGATATAGCTATAAAAAAAATCAACAAGTGATTACATAACTAGGAATAATATTCATATTTCATTCTTAAATTCTAAAAAAATCAAGGGAATTTTCAATTTAGTTAATGTTCAGTTTTTAAAACCACTTTTAATAGTTACTAATTTTTTTGTATTAGATTGGTACTGCAGACATTAATATTAAAATCATTTTGTTCATCAAGTATATGAAGAATGTTTGATTTTCTATTCAATTTTTGTGTGTTTCAGAATCATGGGAAACTCATGCTATTACTCCTCCCACATTGTTCCAAACAAATTCTGAAATTGTATTACATGGTCCTCATAAAGAAGTCCATGGTTCAACATCTGAAGGCAGTACAATAATAAATTCTGATAGAGAAATCAAACTGGTACCTATTGATGTATATTTTTTTGTGTTAGGATTAAAATTTGTAGTTTTATTTTTTTAGCCTACAGAAGATAAAGAAAAATCAATTGACAATTTATATCCTGAATATGATTACATATTTTGTATTGCAGCTATAAGTAGAATAACACCAAATAGTTCAAAACTGCTTGCGGTATGTTATACACTTTTAGTCTTTACTTTAATTTTTTTTTTTCATGTTTTATATATAAAATAATCTTATAACATAACCAACAGGTACCCTATTAAGTATAATGTATACAGGAAATTCATAGTTATAATACATAATCTTTAGGTGCTTTTTAATATTTTGTGTTACAATGTGTACTCAGTATTTATATAAAAATGTACTTGCACTATATAAATAAAGGGGGTACAGATATAATACACCATAAGCATATGAATTATATTATAATTTATTTAACATACATTTCTAAAATAACACATTTTTATATTTGTATACATTATAGCTTGGGTATGAATAGTGCAACTGATTTTGGTAAGGCTATTACTTTCATAAAAGTTTTGGAACGAATAGTTCTTTAGAATGTGATGACTGATTTTAGTGACCATTCTATAATTAATATGGTATAAATTTTTTTTATAAAAGATATGTTAATTTAAAATATTAATATATAAGTATTATTTTCTTAGACACCTTTATTTTTCATACATATAATTAATTTTTATCAAAATATAAATTATATGTTTGATACAAATATCCAGCCAATTATGATGTGTTAACATAATAAATAATACTTAGATATTGTTTTAAAATGATTGAATAGTTTTTAAGTTGTCATATGTTTGTGGTTTTAATTTTAATTTTCTTCCATTTTCTATTCAAAATAATGGGTAAGTTATTATAAAATATATGTTTAAAAATACATTTTTCTGAATATTTACCTATATGTTGTGTTCAAAATCTATTTATTTATGTTTTAGATATCAAAAATTGATTCAAACATTAAAGTTGATATAAAATCTGATGTATCTTCTCTTAATGGTTATGCAGCTGATCATTCTAGCTCATCAAATTCAACGTAACTATTATTAAAATAAATATTAATTTAATAGAACACAGTGCATTATTCTCAATTAAGAAAATCTTTTATTGTGGTTTTTAATTACTGAAAATTTTTACAATTTAAAATTTTTTAGAATTCAACATTAAAACAATGAATAATTAAATATTTATACATAACTATTTTTATTTTTGAAACATATTAAACATTTAATTATTTATTTTTTAGTTGTAGTCATTTAATTGAAGAACCATTTTTGGTACCAAAAGCTCCACGAGATTCATTTGTGTCATTATCTAGTAGTGGTTCATCAACTGGAGTACTTTTACACCAATCTAAATGTAAGTGCTATTTATTTTAACTGTTACTTTTCCTACTAAATTTAATCAATATAAATTATCTTATAATATCAAGAATGTTTAAACTGCAAGACATTTTGTTTTAAAATGTGCAATAAACTCATCATATGCCTACATATTGTATGTATTAAATCTATCAATCTCTATATAATAAAAAGTAATGAATTAATTTTTGCATATTTTATAAAATATGAGGGTTACTTGGGTACAATGAAATGCATGTCAATATAAGATTATCATAAAATATTTTATTAATTCAAGTTTTATTTTAAGTCTTATTTTTTGTGTAAAGCAACAAAAATAATTTAAAAAAATATACTAAAGATTTATTATTAGATAAAATAAAATCTCATGAATTGATTTAAAACTTATGAACATAAATTAAGTGTTACATTTATAATTAAATAACAAAAATATAACAAATGCATTTTTCTTAAAAATTATTACAACCCTATTCATAACTGTCTTGGTATATTATATATTTCAGCCAAACATAACAATATTTTATTATCAAAAAATGTATACACTTATCCAGAAAATTTAGCTTGTCACAAGTGTGACCATATTTATCCACGAGTTACAGAAAATTGTATTGCTAGTAGTATAGATAACAAAGACTTCCAGAGTGAACAGCAAACTAAAACTCGGTAAGAAAATTAAAGTCAGTTTAAATCTCAGTTTTAATATTCATTTTATTTTATAGTGCTGGAAAGTCAAGACAAAAAAAAAGACCCAAACAGAATAATGATAGTAGTTCAAAAAGAATGTTAAAAGTTTGTATATTATTTGTATTAAAATTTAATAATTAATGATTACTTAATACGTAGATAATTTATTAATTATTACATTAACATTATAGTTATTTTAATACACAGTTCTCTTAACATTGTTTTTTATTATTATTTTTTTATCAGAAAACAAAACAAAATTCTGAAAATGTTTTCAATGAAAAACAGGATGTTAAAATAGAAGAGCCAAAATGTTATGATATGCCAATCGATTCAGTTGAAAATACAACTAATGATCCTATTACATTTAAAACAGGTCTGTGAAATATAATTATTATAAATAGTTGTTAGGTAATTTAAATTTCATTATTTTTTTCTTTTACAGGGGATAAAATATTTGCATACTGGATGGCAGATAAAATGTTTTACCCAGCCATTATAATTGATATAATACCCCCAAAATTTAAAGTAGAATTTATATCTGATTACTATATAAAACTATTAAATTCTGATTGTCTTGTACACAGTGCAGCTATAAAAATTGGCTCTCTTGTTGCAATATTTGATACTGTTTCTCAAGAGTATAGAGTTGGTGAAATTGTTAATATTAATGAGTATGTATAATATATTTTATTCAACAATAAAGTGTTATAATTACAATATAAATATACATAAAACATTATTGTTTACAGTGTACCCAATAGTGAAAAAACATTCACTGTAGATTTGAATTCAGAGGTAGTTGTTGTTCCCTTCGATAAACTAGTATTGGATGTTGAAAAAGCAAGAAAATTACAAGACAAAATTGTATTAAAAAATTATGATAGACTTAGCATGTGTATGTAATTGCATGAATATTAATTATTATTTATTAATAGTTTTCAATTATCATTTAATTAAAAATAATTGATTTTTTTTATTCTATTAGCTAATGTATCCGAAGGAAAAAGACTTCGCTTATCACGATCAACTAGTACAAATTGTAAAACTATAAAAAATGAATCTAGTAAACGTAAAAAAACTAAACAAGACGGTCCAGAAACCAATAGAAAAAAAAGAAAATGCTTATTTCCTGAAGTACTTGATCCCAGAAACATTCCTAGTACTAGCACAGGAATTACTGGAGATGATTATGATGAAGAAAACTTCCAAGCTGCTTCTTCAGATTCAGACTTTGAGTAAGATATTTTTTGTACTGTTATTTTAATATAAACATACATATTATATTTACATCCCTAAAATAACAATTAAAGTATTCAACATTTTTATAAATCTATAGGTTATTAAAATAAACATAATGTAGTTGTTACTTACAAACTATTGTTTTATATTTGCTAAATTAAATAGTGTAAATATTACCATAATAATGGTGGTAATGATCAAAATTTCTATCTTTACATAAGTTTTAGAATAAAGTAATTCTAGGTTTTATCACATAATATCATATGAAAAATAATATCTTTTATTTCAAATTGTTCCTTTTCTAAAGACTCAATCAATTGACAAGAATCTTTTAAGTCTCAGTTGTCTTTCTTTAAGATGCAATTTAGCTGATATGTTTATTTTTAATATTATTTACTATTATATTCTAGGAATATAAGTTTTGATAGAATTCCATATTGCCTGTCAGTATACACATTATCTAGACTTATTTGTTATTTATAATTATAAGACAGTTAATGGAATAAACTCATTTCATCTAAGAGCTTATTGATTAACCAATAAAATATTTTCTGTACTTGATTTTTTAATTCTATATGTGAGGAGTATTTTAAAATTGATACTTTATTATTTTTTTAAAAAACTTATTAGTTTAAGTGTCAGAAGTCTTTATATTAATTTCATATTTTTAGGCTTTCAAAATATTGTTGTACTTTTGTTGAATTCTTAACATATTTGTTAAATGACACATGTCTATTGAATATACAATAAATAAATCAATGAATAATTAATATTTAATCATTATTTAAAGGAAAAGGAAAATTACCTTTTAAACTATATTCCTTGCCTTTTTATATATGTATATAATAACTACATTTTTAAACTGTCTAAATACTTTTAGATCTTAACAAAAAGTTATTATTGATATTGTTATTTAGTCACATAAGAGAAGACTTAACAAATGTTGACATGGCTCAATTAAAAAACTCTGACATTGATAGTGAACATTCATCTCCTGACAAAATTAATCGTACAGTGGTGTCTCCTCCAAGTAAATCCATAAAATTATTTGAGAATTTACACTTTATTATCTCTTATTCTAAATATAAACGGATACCTATGACCAATGACAGTGATCAGAGCACTGATCATGAAATCAACCAACGTAAGTATAAAATTTAAATAATACATTAGTTTTATAATGTACTTTTAATTACCTAAGTAATTAGTTAATTTTACTTTTAGATTCACATTATTTCAAACCAGATAAAATCCATAAAAAGTATTTAGAAACTCTAATATACAAGCATGGTGGTGCTGTACATAGGTATTTGAATGTGTTACCAAAGTCTTGTTACAAATGTTCATACATTATTACTGATACTCCTTCACAAACTTGTAATTTTTTATTGGGTTTGAGTCTTGGTATACCAGCTTACCATCATAGATGTATTGAACATGCTATTTCTCAAGTAAGCAATTTTTTTTTATAAAGAATAATTGAAATAATACATAACTTTGTGCCTCACTCATAAATTCATAAATACTGAGAATAATTATAAATTATAATGTATTAATTATTTTTTTGTTTGTTGTAAATTATTGTACCTCAAATAAGTATTTGAAATTTTTGGCTGGCATTTTGCAGAGAATATTTATAATTCATATTTCAGTGTACACAATAGCTTAATGTAGAGTACCTCAGCTGATAACAAAATTCACTTGATAATGAAGTCAACACTAATGTTTTTACATGTGATTATTTAATGATTTTTATTTATATGTTGCAAAATAGCTCGTGGACATTATTTGTCAGGCTAATTTTATGTAGATATACGAGCAACATCGATCAAATACTATGAGGCACTTAACTTATTAAAAATGTATTACATTATTTAAAAAATCATATCTTGTCAATTACCATTTATCCTTTTTTTCCTTTATACTCAAAAATGTCAATAATACTACTAAAAAAATGTATTTAATTCTATACTAATTTAGAAGTCTAAATAACTATATCATAGAGGTTATAGTGTTAAAAAATATATAAAATTAAATATTTATGAGTGTGAAACGTCAAATTAATAATTTAACAATTAATTACATATTTCAAATACATAGTGTAAAAACTGTATAATTTCTATAGCCAATTAGCTTATTGTATAATATACATTTTATCTATATTGAACTTAGTTTAATATCTAATTATATTTAAAATTTTAAAAAAAAATTTATTTTTTTATTTTAGAAAATGTCATTTTCCGAGTTTATAATAAAGAATGATGTTAAACCTATACCTAATGGTTGGTCTGTGGAAAAGAAAGAAGTTATTTTCCGTTCACCTAAAACTGTACACTCAAATATATTTTCTGATTATGTTATATATGTAGCTTTATCAGATGAACCCAAGAATAACTTTTTTTCCAGTTTGTTAAAATTTTCTGGTGCTATTGTATATACTATCAGTAAAAAAGGTATGTTAACTGAATTATTTTAACTATCAAATTTAATAGGTCTTTTACACAGTTTAATTTATTGATGTTAAAATTATTATTGATTGGCCATTTTATATGAATGTTTTTTTAACCAGGAGCAGTAAGTCTGCCTTTAATACGCCACATGACTGTGATCATAACCGATGACCATTGTCCGAGCACAATCATGAATCAAAGAATTCCCAAGCTATCAACTTTATGGATAGTTCAAAGTTTAATATGTGAATCTCCTCGTCCTATTGATGGCCATGAGAGTTATATTGCTATAGGTGATGCAAGCGATTAAACGAGTAATCGAGAATTATTGTTTGACGATAAGATTTGATGATTTAAAATTAATCAAATATTAATTAATTAGTTCCAAATAACTATACTTATTTTTTGGTAAATTATAGTAAATAATATATTTTTATATATTTTTTGAATTATGTATTAATATTATTTTTAAATGTTATATATTGTAGTTAGCATTAGGTTATTAAATAATTGATGTCTGCCAACAATACTAAATGTTCCAATACTCTAACCTGGCATGTTATAGTTGTTAATTCATGTGCAGTTCATTGTTACTAATTTTTTTTTATTTTTATTATTATTATTATTAATCTTATTAAATTGTAAAAATCTTATATATTTGTCAGAAAGGAATGTTTGTGGTGAAATAATGATTAAAATATTGTAAACATTAGCTGTATTTGTGCACTATGGCTATGATTTATATATTTTTTTTCCAAAGATTTTTACTTTTGTCATCACGTAATATGATGATACATTTTAGTATATTATTAAGTGATTGTAATTACTTATAGAAATAAATGTATATGAAAGCACCACTTATGCATTTTGAAGAAAATCATATTTTGTCATTCATTTTCAACTATTGAATAATAAATGCTATTTTCAAGTTGACAGAATTTGCGGCCACCAGAGAAAACCTATTAAAAGCTGGTATTTGGTTGTATATTGTACAATGCACGCGTCAATAACGGGTTAAAATCATAATTATCAATTGTTATAAAATTTTCATTGAGATGAACATAAACCCGTTATTGATATTATATTTGTTTAGGGTATAACAGTAAGTTATTAAATATTTCATACTAGTAACATTTTAATGTCAACCGTATTTGTTTGGTGATCGACTGTTGGAGTACATTTTGACAATGAGGGTATAATAAGTAAAACTAATAATTAAAATGAGCTACAGTTGATTTCAGTAAAATAACAAAATTATATTTCATTATAATATTCAATAATACCAGCTAGTGACTAGGCACGTGTTGTATCTAATACTTTCATACTCTCATTTACATAAATCATTAATTCATTATGCACATTTATAATTATCGCAATGTTTACTGAGCGTTTGTATTTTGTCAATTATTTGTAAACTATATTTGATTTAATGATTAACAGCACATCAATAAGTACATAAAATATGTTGAATATCGCAACAATTTTTCTATCAATAATAAATAAATAAATAATAATAACAACAATAATTAAATTGTAAAGCAAATGATTTATTGTTATTAGTACATCAAGTCATGGGTGATAGATATTTTTGATCTTGAAAATTATAAAATAATTAATAAATTATGTGTAGTAATTAATCAACAAATGAATGATGCGAAAAATGAATTAATGGGAAATGACAGTTAAAAAATTAATGAAAGGTTTTCCTTCTAAATATTTATCACAGAAATAATGACTCGGTACTAGTAAAAACCATCATTTTCATAAAAAATCCTAGTTAAATTATACAATTACTGGATAAAATATTATTTTTATATTTAAATAGAAAGGAACAAACACGAAAAACTCGAGAGGGTTATTGCTAATCTGTGTGGCCTACTTTTCACAAGATAAATATACACAAATACAAATAATTAAAATTGATGGATCAACAATTATTACTTAACATAAAGTTATAAAGCCTCTTCAACTTTACGGCAAATTTCATCTGTAAATTCCGAGCATTTGGCTTTTCCGCCCAAATCTCCAGTTCTGTACTTGCCTTCTTTGATTGTATCAAAACAAGCTTTTTGAATGATGTCAGCTTGGCTGTTGAGTTCCATATGACGCAACATCATTACAGCTGACAGCAGAAGAGCAGTAGGATTGGCCAAGTCTTTGCCAGCTATGTCCGGAGCAGTTCCATGAACCTTAAGAAGAAATTTAGTTTGTTAATAAATTGACAGCTTGGGTTAAATTGAAAAAGTAAACTAATAATTTAAGTATCATTTACAGATTCAAACAAAGCACCGTTGCTACCAATGTTTCCACTGGGAGTCAAACCTAAACCACCAACCAAACCGGCGCACATATCTGACAATATATCACCATACAAATTAGGCATTACCAAAACATCATAATGACTTGGATCTTGAACCATAGTCAAACATACTGTGTCTAAGTATTTTTCTTCGAATTTGATTTGAGGGTATTTTGAAGATGCTATACGGCAACACCTCAAGAACAAACCATCAGACATTCTCCTATAATATTTAACATTTTCAAACATATTAATTATAACATTATACACAATTAAAAACAATTATTAGTTAATCATACATAATATTAGCCTTATGTACAGCAGTGACCTTGGATCGTTTATTTTCAACAGCATATTTAAAAGCAAATTCAGCTACCCTAGTTGAAGCTTCTTCTGTGATTAATTTAATGGATTGTACTACTCCTTCAACAATTTCGTGTTCAATACCTGAATATTCACCTTCAGTATTTTCACGAATTGTTACTACATCTACATTTTCGTATAATGTAGGATAACCCTCAAGTGAGCGACATGGCCTTACATTGGCATATAAATTGAATTCTCTAGAAAAATAATGAACACAAGTTGAAATCTAAGATAAACAGAAATATTTAAAATATATCTTTATATCTATTCATTTTATAATTAATAAATAACAATATATTTACTTTCTAAGTGCCAAGTTCAATGAGCGATGACCTTTTCCAACTGGTGTCATAAGAGGTCCTTTTAATCCAATTTTATTAGTATTTACCGATTCAATAGCTTTAGATGGTATTTTCATTGTACCATCTGGTGCTCTTACAGGAGTAACATCAACTACATCCCATTCAATTGGAGTCTAAAAATAGAAATATTTGTGTTTTTTTTTTTTATTGTTTTTATTATAACTGCAATAAATAGGGTATTTTTTTAATTAAAGAAATTTAAAATGGTTAAAACCAAAAGATTTATATTAAATTAATCAAATTATAAGTCTAGTAAGAATCTATAAATTCATGATGGTTAAGAAAACTTTTTAACATTCAATCTTTTTCTGATTACCACATTAGTAATACTGTACAAATACGAACTCACTGTTAATTTGCTATTAAATTTTAATAGGCAAGGTTCAATAAATCCACTTTAGTAAAAAGTAGTAAAAAAAAAACCCACCAAAAGAACATTTAATCACTTTTTTTGTTTGATCTGTAGCATTTTAGTCTCACTAAATGCCTACGAGATCCGATTAGGTTAAATGCTTAAAATCCCTCACATAGAGTGAAAAACGATCACTTACTTTAGCGGCTTCGAAAATCTTCTGAACAGCGGCCGAAATTTCAGGACCGATTCCATCGCCGGGGATCAATGTCACTTTTCGCGCTTCAACGCCATAGGAACGAGCAAGGTACTGGGTAACGTTGTTCTGTCAACAAATCAATAAACAAAATTTTGCATTAAAAATGAAAGTATACTACTGGGGCGATAATGGGAATTGACAAACAACCCGTTTTTCGTCGAGAACCAGATACTTACGATCTTGTGAAATATCCTGTGAGCCATGGTGAATGGTCGTCGGTAGGAGATGAGATCGAAAAAGAGCTCTCTCAAAGGGTTTACGGTCGGAGAGAATTTTTCTCCTCAACTGTCCTGGTAAAAAGAGAGGGTTAATCACTCGATAGTATTTTTAAAACGAAAATGGGTGAGAGGTTAAAGGAACAGATGTTTTACAAAACGGGACAGCGACAGTTCGGTGACCGTACTCCGTAGCACCGTACGAATTACGAATCGCGATTCAATACATTTATGATGGTCGGGCGGTATTCGTCGTCTTTCTGTTCCATGACTGCGGCGAACAAACGACGATAGAAGGCGGCGACCCAAATTGAATACGATGGCAACTGATAACGAATCAGATTTCCGGTGAAATTTGAATTATATTGAGATTATAACAGAAAGAAAAAAATTAATATTAATTTATTTTTATCATAAACATAATAATTTACATCGTTACTATAATATAAAATATAATTGTCGTACACGTTAAACGGTTTATCTATGTTTTGCTCTAGTTGGCATAAAAGTAGGTACATAATGCCCTACCGTATTTTGTACCCAATTTATATGCGCTGCTTTAAATCATCACTTCTCCTATATACTAAATATACTTCAATAATCAGACCACTGTTAACGTACGCTTGTCCTGTCTGGGCGGCAGCCTTGCCTACTAAAATTAAAAAATACAAATTTTTCAAAATAAATTCCTTAGGATTTGCCTAAAAGCCTCTTGGTTTATGAGGAATCGCCAAATACACAACTGGAATACTCGTAATAAATATTTGGATTAAAACCCAACTTACAAACTTTTACTCCAAGCTGAAAGACTCGGACAGAGCCTGCCATATTCAACTAGGAAGAAAAACTCAAAATAGGCGACTGCGACCTCGACTGCCCCAAGACATCCTCCAAACGGACACCAAAGAGCTCTCATCGGAAGATGAAAATATTCAACAATATAAAAAAATCTATAACTAGGAATTATTATATCTTTGTTTGTACCAGTAAGTAATTTATAAGGAAAAATAAAAAAAAAAATTTTAATTGTAATTATAACTTATTAAACTTGTAATAGTACCTAATGTGCTGAAAAATTTTAAATAATAAATAAAAAAAAATATGCGCTGCCTACAATTGAAATAACAACATTTCACACTTTGGACGCGAAACGCAACGGGTAATAACTGTCTAATGTCCATTTAATATCTGAGTAAAATATTATTCCTATGATTCACCAACGGACTAACGAGTTAACATTGTTTTATTAAAATGCGCATAAACAATACTTTTGTAAGTGTAGTAGATGAAGTAGTAACCAACAGCTAGATACCTAACTTTTACGGCTATACCTGTTAAAGTGTTAAGTAATGTTCACTCTTACGTATGTACAATTAACCGACGCAATCAACCGGTAGTTGGAAAAATAATTCTCAGCATAAAAATTAAAGAAATAATGCGATGAACACGTTAAATTTCATTAAATATTGTGCGTGCTTTATGAGTACAGTATTTTATTTTTGTACTATTGTTGGTTTGATTAAGAATATTATAATAAATAAACGTAAAAAAATTCCTATA